TGTGTGTATGCGGACGTATGCAATGAGGGTGGCCAAGGTGTGAGGAATAAATGATTGATTGTATACGTGAATGTGGTAAATGCAAGTAAAAGATTAGAGAAACATTGAAAACATGCATTTAATGCATTAACTCCCACAAAGCATTTGACCATGCACTCACCATCCTTTCCCCATCCGCTCGCGTGAATGTCGTATTCCTCATGTTTGTGGTGTGCAGTGCAAATGACAACAATTGATACAAGATTGTGCAAAAGAGGATGGACAATGCATCTCGMAACTTCGYCTTTAYCAAAGAGGGAGACGGCAGCCTTGACGCGTATCATCCGCGAATACGGGAAGAGGTATCCCGTAGCCACCACACACGACGTATACATGAACGAGGTGTTGCAACTCACTCACAACGATTTCCTTTTACTCGCTGTAGAACGTCAGTGGTTAAACGACAATGTCATCAACTTTTACCTCAATCTCATAACATTGGACAACTGGTGTAGAATACAACACGTAGAATGCGACGCGGAGAATAAGATAGTTATTAGAGAAGGAAAGGGTCGCATTCCTAGAGTTTCGGTGCTGAGCTCATTTTTGTTCGTCAAACTTTTCGACAATGAAATGAGATATACAGGTCGAGAGGTAGAGCGCTGGTGTCAGGACGTTATCATAAGTGACATGGACTTGATTATTGCTCCTTTCCATATCGAACACAAGAACCACTGGACCCTTGTCGTGGCTGACTTCAGGAGGAGGAAATTCGAATTTTACGACTCCCTCGACCCCGACATGGAGTTGGYGAGAAAGGTGAYCGGCGGGTTTGCAAAGTTTATATTCGAAAGATCGAAATCACAAGGCAAAGAGGTGGACACGAAACCATTCAATCACATATGGAATGTAGAGGGCATTCCGAAGCAACACGACACGAACGAGTGCGGGGTCTTTRTGCTAACGTACGCATCACTGTTGGCACGGGGCCAACTTCCACCTTTMTTTTTCACTGCTGATGATATACCCGSGATACGTCGTCGAATGGCTTTGGACACAKTGGYTCGTGAGTAGTGTGTATATGATAATCCGTAATATGATTTGGAGGGGGGGCGGATGCCACAAGATGGTTTGTGACAAAAACAATGTMTATAAGGTGCCAAATATTACTCGATACGYTGTGCCACTTGACCCTTGCAATTTACCACATATCCCTTACACCTCACCCCTTACACCTTACCCCGTTCACCTYACACCTTGSCCCTTACACCTTACCCCTTACACCTTACCCCTCACCCCTTACACCTTACACCTTACACCTTACACCTTACCTCGTACCCCATACAYCAAACATCTCTTTGTAATGGTTTTTGCACCTAAATCAGCTCAAAAATGACAATTTCAATTTCGTTCAAAAAATATAAAATGTCCGTTTTGACGAAATCGCTGTTTATCTGACTATAACCTCTCTACTAACGATGACTGTGTACCAACGTAAGCCTTTTTTGAGGTTGTCACCTCGTCCACTGACACTACCGCTACAACCCCACTTAGAATAGACCCTTACACTTACCCAAATCACTACCATACCCAAAAGCGATGAACCTACTTGGCATGGCCTTAAAACAAAACCGAAGTATCAGATGAGCTAACCATCAACAGATACCACGCATTACGGAACCTAGCATGCCAAGGAAGTACGATATTAAACACACACAAACCCTCATGCTCACCCCCCTCCCTTACCCCCACCACCATAGCCGAACCCCCCCCTCACCCCGCTATAGCCTCTACACACCATACCAGCTCGCAGTCCCGACTCCCCTATTTCTTATTCTTTTTCCACACAAATACAAGCACATTAACCACGACTGAACAAACCCACACATGTGAGCAAAAATGACCGCCCTAAATATATATTCCTTTAGGCAAAAGGAATCAACCGCTATTGACAGATCCTCCAAAACCAGACACGATACAACACAAAAACCAAAACTGAAAAACCAAAAAAAACAATTGCCAAGTTTTTCTAAAACACAAAGATATAGCAGATGCCAAATGTATATTACACTACCCAAGATTTTAAAACTTGTCTGTGATGACTTCGCACACCCTCCACAAACTCCGCCAACCCTGTGCTCGAAATGACAATCTCCACACTCTTGGCGAACAGATGCACAAAGCGCACCTCCCGAAAAGTAAACCAACAGATCAGACTACCTCACTAACAACCCAATAACCCTTCTATTAAGGGTCTCCCAACCAAAACATTACCCAATACAACCGACATCACTCTACGCAAACCATGCAAACACAAAACCGCTCAAGGACCCACGCCTACTAACCAATACCACACCACATAGTATTACCTACCAAAACAAGCATAGTCTCTCTCACTCACATACCTATCTACTACATATTAAAACGCAACTCCCCATGCAGATAAGGACGCCCCACCAACGGCGCATCCAGTAGCGCCTCCCATTCGGCAATCCCGGCCAAGTGACCATCATGCTCATCCGCCACGCACGACAACAACAAACGAACAATCTTCTCAATAAGGTCGTCACCTCCGCCCACATGACGATTTGGCACATCGTCATGCACTTTGGTAACAAAAACAGCGATATCACGTAGATCATCCCCCACATACCCTAGCCCTGCCTCCAAACGAAGCACCAACACACCATTGGCATCAACCTCATAATGGCGATAACCATAACGTGTGTCCGCGGCCACGAAACCGAAGTCACGATCCGACATATAATCGCGAAGCCCAGACATCTCATAGATCACCACGGTGCGCCCACACACTTGCCCTCGACACACCACAACCGCCGCCATTACAGCTCACCGTAACGAAGCACGAACTATGGATGCAACTACAACCGAAAAGCCTGCTAATACTCCACCTAGATATTACGTACTCAGCAGATACAAGCCGCTAGCGCAATAGTGCCAGCTCCACCAGGAAATCTATAAACAGTATACTTTCGACCACCTATTTATACCACACACGTACACTGAAACCGACCAAAAAATCCTCAAATTCAAAACAAAACGAAAATCTCGGAGCCCGTTTTTTATGGCAATATACCTAGCGACCCTACGACATAAAATACCCCTGACGGCGGAACCAATCCATCCCACAACGGAAAAAAAACAGCATCATATACATCTAAAATGCTCAAATAAAACAAAAATAAAAACAAAAATACAACACAAAAAAAAACAACTACACCACAGGCAGTTATCGAACCAAATCATCCAAAACCCGTGACCGGCAGCCAATCATAACTTTTATGAATTCCCCACCCCACGCAAATATATTCAAACCACGACATGCCACACCATCACCAACCAACCTCGATAAACCCAAAACCCCCCACCACCACGCACCTCCCGCCTACAAAAATAAACATCGATACACACTAAAAGTATAAGATTATAACAATAATAATAAAAATAAACCAGAAATAATTATTAAAAAAACCACCTTCTACCCCCCCTCCTTTTTTCTAAAAAAACTACCAAAAAAACACCACCCCCCCCAAAAAAAAACACTTCCTAACCCACCTTATGTTTTTCGTAACACATATATTATATAACTTGCATTCTTGTTTCTTACAACCTACTAACCAAATGTACCACTCCCTCGCCTGCAGGATGAATCCGACGCCAACAAGGGATGGCATCAAGAATTGGCTGAGAAAGCCCAACAATTCATCCACGTTGCACCGCCAAGCGTACATGCGCAGATCGCCATGCTAGCCCTCCCAGAGCAAGTCCTGTGCAAAGTCCATGCCGCCTCCGACTCGAAAGCCTCATTCCTCATCGAGAACCTGCTCTTCTCGGACTGGGCGGTCATCGTAGCCAAATGGCAAACACTCAGAGGCAAGGAGGACCCTGTCATTCAAGCATACGCCAAAGACATCGCCGCCATCATCATGCAAGCAGCAGTGTAGAACCTCGAGATGGACAAGATCCTTGCCAAAATAGAGAAGGTCATCCTTGACCTTCACGGCTTCAGCTCCTCACATCCGAGCGCTACAAGTGAGGTGAACACCACAGATAACTCCGATGAGCACAGACTCCAGGTCATCGAACACCTCAACCCGTCCCAAGCTGAAAAAAATTGGTATTTGAAGAGGCGGGCAGAGCGGCAACAGCAGGCAGCCAAGCTTGTTATGTCCACACCCACCCCTCGCAAAACCAACTTCTTCAAGATGGCCCCGGATGCACTATTCATACCTGTCCAAACGGTCAGGTGGATTGAAAGCATCAGCAACAGATACGACAACAAGCTATGGTTGCTTGATTCTTTCAACCACACCGCCCCCATAACCATCCCAGCTTACGCAGCCCTAGCTAACTTGTCAGAGGCAGACCTTGTTGAATGCAGAGAAGAGGCCAAAAAAAACACCATCTGCAGAACATCAATTGATGCCAATTTCCCGATCCTCGGACCGCTTGACAGCTCCAAGTGTCTCAAATGCCATCCTCTGTTACACCAGAAAGCTGTGCAAAAACCCACCACTGAGCTCCATGAGTTCAAAAATCTCTGGAACTCTGGTAGGCCATATCTGAAGTGCAACTGTCCTATGCATGGAGAAGTGATCACATGGTTTTATCACATACTCTGATTCTACATTGCCAACCTCG